TATATATATACGTGTGTGTGTGCGTGTGTGTTTTATAAGGGACATAATGGCTATGCGTGTAATTAATTTAGGAATATAAATCTATAATTATTAGTAAGATAATGTATCGAATAATGATAATTATTATTAGGAGCTTTTCTCACAAAATCTTGATTAATATTTGTCATCCTAATAAGCTATCACAACTAAGCATTTAATTATATGCTAATCTGTGTGTGCATTACTGCTTCTTTTTTTGCTCATAATGATAATATATTTCGAAAATTTTGACAATTTAGGATCATACATTGCTATCGAAATATCAATCAGATACTAATAATTTTATACTGTTCAACACATAAAATGTAATCTATAAAAATTTTAACAATATAAATAATCAATACATGTCTAATCTAAGAAAGAAAATGTGTGTTAGGCACATAAATGATATATGAAGATTTAGAAAAATTTTAACAATATTAATACAATATTGATAAGGGGATTATGTATGCGTGTGTGTGTGTATAAAATCCCACTATCAATTTCTTTTTTCTCCTTCATCTCTTCATTAAATATTCATAAATACAACTTTGATATATAATTTTCTGAATTGCATAAAACTTTAAATAAACTATCCTTTATATGCAATAAATTGTGCAAATATGAATTATCTTTTTTGTATGTATAAATATGTATGTGAATATGAATTATTTGGAGTGTAGTGGTATATCGATGTCATCAATTTGTTTGCAAATTGTGTTAAATATTTCAAACAATATTTATATTCACATAACATACTCCTAGCTCGGATATACTCCATTTATTATACAACATTACAATTTAAAATAATACTCTATCTGCATTGAAAACAAAACAGTAATACAATATTATATTCCAAATTCTTATCGTTTTTGGAATAAACCAACATACAAATATGTTTATATATACGAAGATATTACAGTTTTTAAATCCAATGCAACATTTTCGTATATCATGTTGCGCCATTGTGTGTACTATGTATCCCTAAATTTTGTCATATACTTTCCTATAATAGTATAATTTCCACATAAACATTTCACTAGTTTTCTTTTTTTCACAGATAATATGTTTTTTCACTAATGCCATAAATACAAATATACTCTGTTTAAATAAAAAGGAAAAAAAATTTAATGTTCAAAATCTCTGCATTTAAAGCATTTGAAACAAATTATATATGTTACAAAAAATTAATATTAATTAATTAATAAAATCAATTCCATTAAGCATATACCAATAAAAGAATTGCTTTGAAAAATCAAAAGTTTTCAATATATCATAATAAATATTATAAACAATTAGTAAATAATATGAATATTGCTACATGTATCGATAGAATTGTAAGTTTTATAGTTGCTCGTTAAAAAAAAAAAAAGTTTATAAAGCACTCGAGTATACAATTTATTTTGGTTAATATATGTTCTCTATCTTTCTCTCTGTTTTTTACATTTGTATATCAAACTATATTAAGAAGCACAAGAAGGTGAAAAAAAAAGAAAATTAAATATAAAAATTTAGCATTTCCTATATTCTTATATATGTACGTTTTTTTAATAAATAAATAGCATATACATTTCAACGAAGAACACATTAACTTTATTAAATCGGCGACCAGCGCTATCACTTAAATCTCGTGTGAAATAGAGCCATAAGTATCCTAATATGCTTTGTATGCTTTCTCTCTTTTTTTACTTTTCGTTTTTCTCGAATACTTTGTTGATCTCTAATGTTTGAAACGCAATTCACCTTTTTCTGGTATATGTGTGTGTGCGTGTGTGTGTGTGTGGTTTAAATTGACAATATCTCAACGCAAATGGTCAGACAAATCAGCATATTTGTATCTAGCATGTGTCTATGAAAATAGATATAGATCACTGTTTCATTGAGCTCTGTAATTAATATTATTTCATTACTATGTTTTAAAGAGGAATTTTTTCATAAATTTTTCCTTGCATCCTTGCATGCATAGGAAATATTTATGTTACATAATTTTTAAATTTTAAAGAGCTTGAAATTTTTAGTTTTGTTTCGGATCTTTTATAACTTTTGTCAATATATGAACACGTGGTATACGTTATACAAATAAACAATTTTGTGTCAAACTACATTTCCCAGAAACATGCTATGGATACCAATTTGTAAGTGGTAAACTACTTATAAATTGATATTAATGTGCTGGTTAGACTGGCCAGTTGCGTTGATTACGGTTCATTTTCTCAAACTATCTTTGCTACTTGCACGGCTGGTTGAGGCTGTGCTAGATTCTCCTGGTCCACCAGTACCACCTGCATCTCCATTGATGCTGGAACCGGCGAGTGAGGCGGTAGGCGTTACTGGCGCTGAACGTCTCCTTACTTTTGTTAAAGCTTTATCCAATCTTTGTATAAATGCATCCGCATCAGTTCTCTTCATACCTAATGCTGCTGCAGCAGTTAGATATGGAACTCTGTAATTGCTGTTGTGTGCGCCCCAACCTATTTTAATAATTGGAACAAATATATAATATAAATTCTTAAAACATTATCATATATAAATTATACTTTAAAGTACATACCTTCAAATTTATGTGAAACAATATGCTTAGAATCTGTTGTCGTTATTACTCTAGTACCACTAACATTACGCAGAAATAGCATTGATCCTAGCATAGTAACTTGCTTGTTGTCATGTTGATGACTTAGACATTGAAGAGTCATAGCCATGGATATTGGATTGCCCTTAGTATCCAACAGCCTTTCTCCATGCCTCGTTGCTAATTTCCCCAATTCTTCTTTCAGATAAGAATACATTTCCTTACGTTGAGCAATCAATTGTTTGTATCCTGCCATTCCGAGACTCAACAGTGTTATCATTACGTCCATAACGGAACTCGCACTCGCACGTCCCGGATACATTTTCGATATGCGATCCAAGAGATTCTTATCAAAGGAACCTATGATAGCACCGCCCACTGGAACTAGAAAGTTCTTGTCCGTACTTTGAACAAAGGCATCTACACGACCCTTTCTCGATGCTTCTTGTATGAGATGCATGCATCTTGTACTCTGCAAGCTTTTAGGAGTATAGTGCAATATATTTAGTAAAATAATTTTTAATCGAAATATTTTGTTTAATATCTTGAAATTAAAATAGCCAATAACGTTCCATCGTTATGGACCCAAAAAATATTTCATAGTTTCAAATAAGAACGTTCTGAATTAAAAAATGGCATTACGTGCTTTAGTACCAAGATATCAAACTACAAAAATATAGATAAAAAAAGATCATACATCTTTTTACTTACCCGTATGCATTATTTACCAAATGCGGTATATTATATTGACTGCAGAGGGCTGCGATAGAATCCACAGAATCGCACGCTCTAGGCGCAAAGCAACTCGTTGTTGTAAGTACACAAGCGACACTTTCGCCTAAAGCCGCCATCTGAGCCTCGAGTCTTTGCATGTCGGTTTTCAATTCGTCTCCTATTATTTGCATTTCAATAACGATAGGTTCTAAGCCAGCTGTGATTATAGATTTGAAGCTAGATTTTTGATCAATTCTAGGCCATAAAACGTATTTCGCTCGTGGCCTGTCTTGCTTAAGCGTTAGCATACATAAAACTAGACTCATTCCTGTAGCCATTGGCGATAGAAAGCAACCTGCTATACTTTTCACTCCTGCAATTAAAAGGTATACTTTTGTTACGGATATGTAAAATTTACTTAATATTAGATTAATAATGAAATTTATCTTTTTTCTATATATATAACTTTTAACAATAAAGCTAATAAAACAGAAAACAAAGAGAGACAAATCGGACAAAAATGGTAAATAAATAGCTATA